CGCACAAGGGTGGGGACGCTCTGCAGCAAAACAGCTGCTGGAGGAGATTGCACAGGGCTGAGCAGCTATGGGAAGCATTGCACGGCCTCAAGGATCCCTGCAGCTCCCCTCACCCCCCACCATGGGACAGGTCAGCAAAGCCTTATCCAGACCCTCATGAGGGTCTGGACAGCGAATGCTGCCAAGCTGCCCCAGGTGGTGATGCCCAAATAAGCACATCACTCTGTACCTGGCTCCCGGTGCTAGGGAGAGGGGACCAGCTCTGGTGGAGAATGGACAGCCCCCATGGTGCAGGGCACCTCTGTGCTCCCTCTGGAGCATGCACTGAAAAGCCAACCGAATTTGGGAAGAAGGACAGAGAGGCCCCAGGGATGGGAAATGTGCTGCCAGGAGATAATTTGCTCAACCATGAAGGAAGCTTGGAGAGGTGTACTCCAAACAAAGGCAGGCCTGGGCCCCTTTCCTCCCTCCTCACTGAGGTCAGGGTTGCGTTCACCCTGGCTGGGAGTGATTTGGAGACCAGCACACCCAGCACCGGGGCTCAGAAACAACCACCAAAATGGCATGTTGCAAGATTGTCCTGCCAGGGACCCCTCTCCCTTAAGCCAGGGGGGTCCTGGAGGAGACTCGCACCAGAAAGCCACCACCCAAAAGCCAGCGCACAGTGCTTCGCTTGCCTGCCCAGGACCTCTGCCACCCCCCAACCTCACTCATCACGGGACCCCTGTCTCTCCCACGTATGCTTCTCCCTGCAGCAGCAGGCAGGGGGACTTTGCACATGCTTCCCCAGACCCGCCAGGCCTGGGAACCCTGTCTTTTCCTCCAGGGACAAAGAGACAGCACTTTGCACCTTGTTTCCTTAGAGGCCAACCCTTGCCAAGCAAAGCAGCAACTCAGGGTGGGAGTCAGGGACAGAAAACTCTCAGCAGTCCCCGTCTTGCAAAGCCACACGCTCAGGGAGGGGCTGTAGCGCAGCAGTGCGGTCAAGTCTCCTTTTGGGCTGGGGGCAAGAGAAACCTCACCACTTTGAGAAACTGCCCAGGATTTTAGAGAGAGATGGAACTAGCTTCTGAAGCAACTCGTCGCAGTGGCAGCTGCTTCTGCCTCTGACTCATGAGCTGTTTCCCGATGCTGTGCAGGACTGATGCTGCACAGGGAGCTGAGCGCCGGAGGGAAAACACGGTCTGCATCCACCCTCTTCCTGAAGTCCCTCAGCAGGGCGCAACCCCACACTGGAGACATGTTCTGCCGCTCGCAGACATTTTCATGCTGTGAAGTGACCCCAGCCCCCAGTGACAGCTCCTGCCCAGCCTGGGCGGACCAGTGCGCATCTTCAGTGGGTGTGATGGCAGGAACAGCACCGACCCATCCAACACCAGACCTGCCTCTCAGCACATGTGGGAGCTGGGGAAGGGGACACGCTGGGCAGATGGAGCCCACTGAGAGTCCGACGAAGAGAACAAAGCCCTTGGAAAGGAAAAATCCTACCTGTCCCACAGACGGATGGCTGGATGGACGGAGCGACAGACGCCCAGGCTCCGAAGAGGTGGGGAGGGATCGGGGCTGGTCCAGGCAGGGGAAGGTTCCTCTGGGAGGGGGGAGAGGGGTGAGCGAGGAAAGAGCGGGGAGAGTTTGGGGAAGGGGCAGGGGAGGGGAGGGGGACGCGTCTCCTCCGCGCAGCAGGGCTTGCTCCGAATGAGCCAGCAGCCAGAGGCGAGCTGATGCTCCCTGCCCTGGATCCCGCCGGGCCTGCCCCCCCCCCCCG